AAAACATGTTAGGAGTTTGTTTTGATCTAAAAATATCAATTTCTTGAATAAGTGAGCCAATTTTCTCAACAAAATACCTTACAATTTCACATAAATTCTCGGAAATGATCGCATTTGCTAATTAAGAGACGAAAAGTACAAGGAATTCTGTAAATGAATGCAATTTTTGAGTAAAGAAGTTAAAGATGAGATTGAGATGATTGCAAAACAGGATCTAGAAAGTTTCAAAGAGAAAAGAGCTTCAAGGAAAGAGAATTCTATTTATTATTAACAAAATGTTGAATAGCTTCAAGAGATTTTCAATAATTTTAGGATATAATAATATCTAACAAAGCTTAGAAATAGATTTAGATTGAAATTTGATTCTTTCTTCTAAGTCCTTCTTCTAACTTTCTTCAATCTTTAAGCTTTTGGTTTCATTTTGTAGATCTCAATAAGTGCAACAAAATGAAACCAAAAGCATAAAGATTGGTCCACTTAGAAAAAAGTTATGGCGAGTTGGGCAAACGACCCAGTTACGCAAATAATCCTGAAAAAATTGCGGAAATTAGCCTACCCCCTTTTTACACGTCAAGTAAAGCGAATTTCCCATCAAATCATTGAAACGACTGAATAACTTTAAAACTTTAAAAAGAGTCATCACGGAATTTTTCCATGGCAATTTATTGCAACCCAGTTGCGCAAAAAAGCATAAAGATTGGATAGAAGAAAGTTAGAAGAAGAACTTTGAAGAAAGTTATGGCAAGTTGCGCAACCGACCCAGTTGCGCTAATAACCCTATTGCGCAAAAAAAATGCGGAAATCAAGTTATTATTAATAAAATGTTGACTATTTTCAAGAGATTCTCAATAATTCCAGGATATAATAATATCCAACATACGAGAAAGCTTAGAAATAGATTTAGATTGAAATTTGATTCTTTCTTTGGGCCCATTGATGCTCATTTAGATATTCCCACCCGAGAAAACAAAAAGAAAGAAGATAAAGAAAGAGATTTTAAAAGCTAAATAGAAAAAGTCAAGGATCTTTGAAAAACCAAGCAATTTTGTTTGGGGATTGGTTGATGGTGTAAATAGGAAGAAAAGACTAAAAGGAAAGTATTAGAAAAGAGTGAATTTCTGACCCATCTCTCTGGAAGTCAACGTTTAAAATGAGGAAAGGGCTGCCTACTGAAATTTCATTAAACATTGAAAAGATCAGAAGTCAAGAGGTTTAGATAAGTGTGTGTTTAAAGCTAAACTTCTTTTGAAATTTAATTAATTCTTAACTTAACGAATTGCTAACTTAATTAATGCATTGATTTCTAAATTAAAGAACAGACTAGCAGGGTTATGCCTATTCAATAACTGGGTTATTTGCGCAACTGGGTCGTTTGCTCAACTCGCCATAACTTTCTCCTAAGTAGACCAATCTTTATGCTTTTGGTTTCATTTTGTTGCACTTATTGAGATCTACAAAATCAAACCAAAAGCATAAAGATTGGCTGACTTAGAAGAGAGTTATGGCAAGTTGCGGAAACTAGTCTACTTGCGTCAAAAATGCCACTACCGCAATACCTCTAATAGTACCGCCCCCCGTACGATAGATAGATCTCAATAAGTGCAACAAAACAGGTATTGAAACTCAATAATTTAATCAAATCTTTTATTTAAACCACAGATATATCTAAACATTTTTATTAAGAATTATAGTCGAAATTTGTCGTATCAACGTTGGAATTAGTTTTACAAAATTATCCTCTTTAAAGTAACTGAAAACTATGATACTTTCCACTCATCGACTATAAAAGATTGCTAAAATATTATAGGATTCAAGTTTATCTAATAACTTTCCATACAAGTTACCAAAGTCTAAAAAACTTATTGAATTATGAGATAGACTTGGATATTTGAATAGCTTTCTATACAAGCTACAAAGTTCTAAAAAACATGAATTATGAGACAGACTTGGATATTCGAATAACTTTTCATCCAGCTACAAAGTTCTAAAAAACATTGAACTATGAGATGGAATTGGATACTTGAATAACTTGCCATACAAGTTACCAAAGTTATAGAAAAATTATTGAATTATGAGACAGACTTGGATATTCGAATAACTTTTCATCCAGCTACAAAGTTCTAACAAACATTGAACTATGAGATGGACTTGGATACTTGAAAAGGTTCATTCTCATTGTGTTCCTAATGAAATAATGTGGGAAAGTTAAGGGAGTTGAAGAAAGGAAGAAAGAAAGAAAAGAAAGAGAAGAAAAGGTACAAAGTTCGACTGGATTGGAAAGAGCACTTTGTGAAAAGTTAAGCATAAATCCAAACAGTGATTTCGTTTCTTAATTCCAAAGGAAAACCAAGTGTCAGATTCATAGTCAAGTCCTCAATTAGTACCAAGTGTAGCACAAGAGCACTTTGAACAAGACTCTACTTATCTTCTTTTTCTTCATCTTCTTCTTCAGTGTTTCAATGAATTCCAATCTTTATGCAAACTCATTTAAGGCCGTTAATTTGGGCTTTTGTTTGACTAAAAAATGAAAAACTTTTATTTCAGCAATGGTAAAATAAAAAAACGAAAAACTTTTTGTTAATAGAATTTGTTTGAGTAAAAGAATTCAATGTTTGAAACAGTTTTTCGATGGAAATTCAATCGCAAAACAATTTCTCTTTGTTGTTTGATCGTTGGGATTTGTTGTAAAGAGAAAGGCAAATCTTGGTCTGAATTTTAATTAAAAAAAAAGGTTAAAGAAATGGGGGTTAGATTGAAAAAACTAGTTAGCGAGTGGGGAATTGATTCTCGTAGAGTGACGAGATTTGAGAACTGCGGATGCTGGTGCAGCTTGGTTAAGCAAAGCGGTTATACTCGTGATCCTTGTGTCATAGTTGGACCACTTGACTGAAGTACTGTTGCAGAAAACTAAAAGCCATGACAGGCCAAAAAAACCAAAAAAAGCGCTTGATTGACCTGGCCTGGAGAAGGTCAGGAACAGCGTTGGATTTGACCATTTGTGCGATTGAAGCTTGTACCAATTGTAGCTTGTACAAATTGTAGCTTGTACAAATTGTAGCTTGTACAAATTGTAGCTTGTACCAATTGTAGCTTGTACAAATTGTAGCTTGTACCAATTGTAGCTTGTACCAATTCTTGAACTCTGGAATCAAAATAAATTCAGCCATGAACAAGATTGTAGAGCTCGCCAAATTCCGAAAAATCAAAAAACTTTAATAACCTTTAAGTGAAGTTTAAGTGACTTTTAAGTTTAACCTTTACATTTCTAGACGTAACGGGCTTAAATTCTTCTTGTTTTCTTATCATTTGACTCAGCCTGTAAAGCTTGTACCAAGCTATCCTCTACCTTCTATCTGGCTTATTTGAAAGTTAAAGATCGACGAAAACCACAGTCATTCCAAAACAAATCATTAAATCTAAAATTTGATTGTTTTGCCAGTGTTCAAGGTTAGACCTATTGGAGCAGCTCCCAAAAAAGTATGCCAGAGGAACATCAATAGAAGTCACACAGAAGTCGCCTATTTTCATGGATATTTCGTTTTCCCACCACTTTTCCCAATCTTTCTTCAACCATTGTCCTTTCAACACTGGACGATCATCGAATATCCACGATTGATCATGAGTCACTGTATTGGAAAGAGGAAACCGACCGCGTCGATATTCGTTCAGTAGTTGACGGCATGACCGCGCTCTTTGGTCCTTAATCGAATTGTTCAGTTGATAGAGAATTTGCCTTGTGCAATAGAAATTCCAGGCAGCAAAATTTTTGAAAAAAATTGCTTTAAGTTTATGATTTTTGAATTCCTGGCACAAGATTTGCCAGTCGGGGCCAGTCGTACGTAAGCTTTCTTGGTGTGAAGAGGAGTGACCAATGTATTCACTTTTTGGACATCGATGTTGTACAACTTTTTCGCGGCGGCTTTGATTTGTGGCTTGTTCGAGTGAATGTCAACGATGAAGACAAGTGTGTTGTTGTCCTCAATCTTCTTCATAGCCGATTCGGTAGTCAGTGGTCCAGCTTCTAATGCTTTACGCTATTGCAAACGAAAGCCTGAAACTGTTGAAAATAGTTTTTAATCTTTTACAAAATAATAAAAATATTTGCGGTATGAGTGAGCAAAAATGCATAGGACGCCCACACTAACCAGGCACTTTTTACAGATTACAGGCCAGATGAAGCAATTGCTGACCATACCATCACACCACCTCCTTTGAAGTTTCTTCGCGAAAAGCTAATCTTTTCCTTTCTTAAATCATGCCAATAACTCCGGTTTCCATCAGGCCCATCACAGTTAAATTTTTTTCTCATCCGACCACACGACCTAAACATAATAATAACTTCCCATCAGCCAAGTACGCACACCCACCTTACTCCAGTCAATTCTTCGGTTTTTGTCGGCGAATTCTAGTCTTTTCTTGTAATGATCTTGCGTCATAAACGGTGCTTTACGCATCTTCCTTCGCACAATAAAATCCCTTTTCTTTAGCACTTGACGGACTGTTTCGCTTGACACTTTGAGCTTGATAATAATAAAAATGTTTGCGGTATGAGTAAGCAAAAATGCATAGGACGCCCACACTAACCAGGTACTTTTTACAGATTACAAGGCACTTTTTGAGAGGAAGTAATTGAGCCTTGAAAGCTGGACGTAAATGGTGTGCCAGAAATTCGAAAAAGCCTTTTAAAAATCATAAACTTTAAGAGAATTTTTCTCAGCAAAAATTTTGCTATCTGGTACGCTTAAGATCTACTTTTTCGGATTCAGGAAATAAAATGGGTGTTATCGTTTGGTTGTGGTCAATCTGTGTGCATCACTAGCAAGGTTTCTCAAAGTTTTTTTAGTAAGGCTATATTATGTCTGAATGATTATGTTACCAAAAGTTTTATTAGAAGACAAGTCACAAAAGCCGTACCAAATTTGGAAAGTTATAACACGTAAATATTCAAAATTTTAGGCAAACATTAAAACAAAATCTAATGTTTATTATAGAAATGATCAAGGGAAAAAGTTATAGCTGATCTTGGAGCTCTTGTCCTCTTCCTCGTTCACCATTTCAGCTTTCGCTTTCTCGAACTCGATCGGCTTTTCGCATGTGATTTCCGGATTCCATTTGTTTCTAGGCAAATCTTTTTATCTTCTCACTTTTTAAAATAGAAAAGATTTGTTGATTGATGGAAAACGAACTCTTGCCATTTCATTCGAAAATTGAGAAACTCTTCGTGGGCCCCACGAGCCAACTGCATCACCACGAGCACGCCTTTCTCATTCTAAATCTTAAGTCTTTAGGTTCGATTTTCAAACTAAAAACATTTATATTATGCCAAATTTGAGTTTCTATAGTACTATCATCTTGTTCTTTTATAGTTTACAAGAGGGTTTAACAAAATTGCTCAACCGGGTTCTGAAAAAAAGTGTGTAAGGACGGTGGTGGGTTTTTCACCTGTAATGACTCTAGTTTCTAACATGTTTTCTTTGTTTGATGAGCATATAAAGTAAATATATAAAGTATATGAGCATAAAACTTAACATAAAGTGAATATATTAAGTAAGGGGTATATTGTGTGTGATTAACGCTTCTAGCTTTCCCCACCTTGGCCGCCTCAAGACCTTGTTGGGTTCGATAAAGTCTAAAAGTGATTCCGATCTCGCCCCATCCCTGCGGAATGAGTACACCGTCCTACAAAAGAGTATTCTTTCTAAATCTATTCGTTTAGGAAAAAAAAATCCTCGCCTCTTTCGGATCGTTGTTTGGATCGTCGGAACCCGAATAGATGTAGTGGATGCCGATTTTCACCGGCTCACAATACTTAAAAGTCAATCGAACATCGTCCCTTTTTTGGTTTAAAATGCTAAACTTGACAAGGGTTTGATCAAAGTGGATCGGCTCGTTTGGTTCTAAGGAACGAATATTTTGATGGCTTGTACGAATCCCTACTTTCAGTGCCGGGCCGATTCGGTACCCAGTAAAGGACATCCGGGTTTTTGATAGCAATCGACTCGAGTTTTGCTGCGTTTAGCGTGTCGCCGCCAATCAACAAGCGCTTTTTGTGAAACGATGGAGTCGGTGGCGATGAACTGAACTTTTTTTGTTGTTGAGATTGTGTTTAAATTCAAGCTACAGGGTGCGCCATAATTGTCGCAACAAGATATCACGCGCGTTAACTCGTTAACAAGGACAATAACTCGTTAGTTTAAGCTTCATTTCTGGTTTTTTTTTTGTGTTTTTATTATATTTGAAAAATAATTGAAACTTTTTGCATATAAAATGTGTTGTTTTTTAGAATGGCTGGAAAATCCCCATCGACAATCGATCATCGAATTGCACAAGCGAGGAGTCTCGGCGCCGGAGATTTATAAGCGTCTTAAGGTCGACGGAAGTGTCATTTTTCGCACTATTCAACGCTACGAAGCTACGGGAACAATTGCTGATGCATCAAGAAGCGGTAGACGCCCAACTGTCGTCACAAGTCTGTTTTGTTTAGTATAGTATTATACAATATATAAAATCAAGTCGGGTATCTCAAAAAATGTTCCACAAACCTGTCACTCCATTGAAGCCGAAGAGCCGAGTATTGTTGGATTAGTTTTCCCTCCACTCGGCCGGCCAACTTCATCTCAATCAGTCCAAAGTAGAGTTCATCCTTAAAGATTTACATATATTGAAAAGAATTTGTGCTTATTTTGAAATTTCTTATATGATTAGACAGGATCTCTCACATTGGCGCTTTGATCGATGAACGTCTGAGGCGTATGCGTGAGATCCACGAGTAACTTGCCGAGTTTTCTATTGGATACCTGAATTATCTTTTTGGTGTAAACGATATAGAGCTTAGACATTAGAATTTCTAAAATGCCCCAACCGCATCGAAGTGATCGGAGAATTGCATGCTGGCATCGGGCAACTCCCACTTCCAAACCCCAAGCTTGAGCTCGTTTTGGCCTGAGTTCTCGACTAGTGGCAAGAAAAACACCTCAAGCTTCTTGTGGCCGATTCCAATTTCTAAGTTTTTCCACCTATCACTTTATCTTTTTAAACAAAAGCACTTTCGATTTTGAGGTGGCCATCGAAAAAGTTCTCAGCCGCCACATTCGATACGTTCAACGATGACGGTAAGTCTGTGTCCAAATCGAACACTTAACATTCGAACATTTGAACTGCTTAGAAAAAGTTTTGCATCTACCAGAAATTGGTTTCGTAACGGCTTCTGTTGGTGAAAGCGCGGCAGAACGACTCGGCTTCTTTCGTCGAGAGGAGACTTTCTGATCACGGAAAGAAATAGGTTATAGCCGTTTTTTAAAGCAAAAGCTATGAAAGTCAACTCGGTTTTTCTAGTTTTTATTTTTGCTGATGGCTAAACTCAATCAAATCGAATTCTGTTTGGGATTTAGGTGACAAAGTGCTAACTGAAAGCCGGATTTTTCATTTCATCTCAATTTTTGACCAAAAAGGCGGTCACTCAGTTATAAACTTATTGCCATTCGAATTTTCTGAATACTTACCTCGTATCCGTCCGAATCCCCATCATTTGACATCTTCAAACAATAAAGTCGTTGGAAAGTGGGGATTTGCAAAATGGGGAACTAAGAAAACTCCTTATCTTTTCAAAAAGGTCTACCCGAAACATTACGACATTCTTAAGAATGACATTAAGACATTCTTAATGTCTCGGGTAGACCTTTTTGAAAAGATAAGGAGTTTTCGTTGTTCCCCATTTTGCAAATCCCCATTTTCCAACGACTTTATTGTTTGAAGATGTCAAATGATCTTCACAAACAAATGGAACTCCGACATTAGCTCGACACCTTTGTAAACTTTCAAAACGTAAAACTTAAAACGTAAAACAAAACGTAAACTTAGCACCTAAACAGTTTAGCAAATTGCGTAATAAATAGCAAAAGATTCGCGATTAACATAGGTGACACAAGATCGTGGCTTCAGACTCCCCATCTTTATGAAAAATGATTTCATACAACTTCATAGTGAATGATGATTTCATATAACTTCATAAGAAAACGTGAGTTGTCTATATCTATTGGATTAGTGAATTGAAAACCGCCGGCTATTGTCATATGTCACAGTTTGAGCACTTTCTTCAAAAGAAACCCATTTTGGTGTCAATGGAGAAGTTGTAGAGAATCAAAAATTAGCCTTATAGATGAAAACAGGAAATGGTAAAAGAAAGAAAATGAGAAGATCCGCTAGACACTTGATCCGATCACATGGACAAAGAGGAAAGCTTGGACACTCGTTAAATAAATTGTTTGAGACAGCTGAATCGGCTCTTTTCACTGTTAAACAACTACATGCATACAGAAATTGTGAAAAGGCTTACTTTTACGTTTTTTTATTAAAAGAAATGAAATGCTCGTCAATACCTCAGTCTCTCATTTCACCATGTTTCTGTCATATTTTTTTTGGCAGTAGACAATAAGCACATATTAATATTCAAATTTGGACACACCCTGTGATGGTGGAAGAACGGGTAACTGGAAAAATCTGCTTTTTATCTGACCGTAAAATCCTTATTCCACCATAAACAAGTCTGATTTTCTGTTATTAGATGCTGCAGTACTAGCGCTTACTTATATTAAAATTTTAGAGAACTCTGATGAAACCGTTAGGAAATTCAAGGGTTTAAAAGACGTTGAAATTGGGTAACTGAACCGGAGACATGGATTAGTGCGTCACATGGCGAGAGATTGTAGGTTTAAAGAAGAACAAAAATGCTTTGCAGTTCGAGATACAATAAAGCTTATCAAAACTTCTTTATTCTAATTTCATCAATCGACAATGTAATCTCCATCATTTTCTTGAAATCTATCGATAAGTCGTAGAGAAAGAGCTAACAATAAAAGAGAGATTCGACTTTTGCGTGATCGATGATCTGAATGATTTTCCAATTTTTGGAAAATGAATTGAATTGAAAAATTGAAACTGATCGATTTCATAAAATGATTTGACATTCATTTATTTTTCCATTATGATCTCTTTTCTTTTTCTGATATCGATTTGGTTTCAGAAAATTTTTATGATTTGATACAATAAAGCCCAACATGTTAACAACATTGAGTTGAAAAATGGAAACACACTGTTTCTGGTGCATTTAAATCTTTAGCTATTGTAGTGTATTGCTAAATTTACTTGAATACTTGAAAAAGTAAACTTGAATCGAAAATAAGAGTCCAAAAAGAAATGACATAGAAAAGAAGAGAAAGAAGAGAAAGAAAAAGAAAAAAAAAAAAAAGAAGAGTCTCATCTCAACGATAATCATCCGAACAATTTTCAGAGCATTTCCAAGTATCGAGAATTTTGCGGAATTTAAATTGACGACTATAGAAGATTTCACGATTCGGCATATTTTGAAGCTTGTTTGAAACAATGGTAAGTTGATTTTGAATAACTTTTTATATTAATAAAAATAGCTTGTCAACAGCATATGAATTTGCGAAAATTGAGTACTTTGTGGCCTTAAAAATGAGTACTTTTGAGTACTTTATGGCCCCTCTTTAACGCATTGTTCTCACTATTTCATTGGATAGAACTAAAGAAATTTTAGTAACTGATTTCATAATTTTCGCAATTGTTTAAATATAAAAACTTTTTATACGTAAAGAAGATAATTTTTTTTTAAACCAATGATTTTAAAATCAAGGAATTCTCTTTTTCCTTAACCCTAAAAACCAATCGATTTCCAGTCTGACATCATCAACTTCCCGATTTCTTTCCCGAAGTAAAAGAAAAAGTTATGGTTTGCTTAGGAAATTGAAAAGAAATGAAGTGCAAAGTCATCTTTATCAACTAAAGAATTGTTAACCAATTAAAGAACTTCAGAAAACTGATGTTGATCTTATTGAATTGAATAATGAGATGAAAGAGATCAAGAGCATCCCTATTTTGATCATTATTTGAGTTTGGTCATTGACTTTAGTCAGTCAGCCAGCCATTGTTAATAAAGTATCGAATTCTATTTTAGAGGCTGGCAAGAAACTTTTTTGATTCGATCTTCACAAATGGACTAAATAGAAATATCTTAACCATTAATCAAATCCAAAATATTTTGATTCTAAGCTTCTGTAAGTTCTAAAATCAAGGAATTTTCTTTTCCCTTAACCCCAAAAACTAATCGATTTCCCAGTCTGACATCATCAACTTCCCGATTTCTTTCCCGAAGTAAAGAAATCGGGATTCCTAGAATCTTTGGGACTATTTTGCATTTCGAAAAGCCAGAAAACAAGAAAACGAGTTGGCTTGTCTCTTTTCTTTTCTTTTCTTGGGTATTTAACCCATTAGCACACCTTGGACGAGCCATCCAAATTGGGATTGAAAAAGATAGAAAAGAGAACAATTCGACCAAAGAGAGGAGGGAAGCCACAGCCATCAGGGCCACTTTTGCAAGTCTTTAGACAAAATATGGATTTACTACACGTTTTTTTCCAAAATTTTGAGACTTTTTTAGACTAGAAGTTGATATCAATTTGTGATTTCTATAGCAAGTTTTGAGTCGATTTTTGACCGAGAGCTGTAGAAATGCTGAGTCAATCTTAGGTTTGGGGAGGGCTCGAATTGAGACCGATTCTCACTAAAACCAAATTATCTTGGTTTCGTTGATTATATGATGGTTTGTATGATTTGGTACGATATAGCCCAACATGTTACATGATGAAAAAAGTGAATTCTCTTCTTATAGAAAAATGCTTTAAAAATTACGCCAAATTTAAGGCAAAAATTGGTCCCAGTGATTCGAGTCTAGTGGCGATAAAATGGCGAAACCGGCTTGGACCCTCCTCGTCCCTTTTTTTTACCGATCACTAAGTGAATACCTATCTGTCGTGTCGTCCGAAGCGATTACGCGGCCGCACAAAAACATCTCGTCAGTCATTTCTCACCATTTCTATTCCCATTCGAATCACAAAAGGAACAGGTATCTATCGGCGGCCCGTGCCAGATGGAGAGCGATTACTTGGCCGCACAAAGAGCACCAGTCATCTCCATAGAGATTTTTCTTTGCTTTTTAGATGGTATAAAAAGAAGTGTTAGGCCATAAATTTGTATCCGAATGTTTTTGGGAGTGGGGAATTGATTGGAGCTATTCATTTTGAGGCTACTAATTGTAAACGGGTTTAATTGATCTCTGTTTAGTTTTTATCATCTCCTGCCATCAATTTCCCAACTTTCTTTTCCATTTTCTTCAAAGAAATTCGAAATTATTACCTCGAAAGGGGTTGATTATTCGCAAAATTTTTCTGCAAAAGGTTTGATTATCTGTAAAAGAAATGGATAAAAACCTATTAAAATTCTCAGCCAATGGAATTTTCTCACGGAACATCAACTGAAACTTTTGTTTCATTTAGTAGAAAAAGAAAAAGACAGAAAAATTTTTGTCTTTATCCTTTTCGAAATTCAATTATCTTTAAGCCTCATTTTTTGGCTTTTCAGTTCTTTTTTGAGGCTTTTTGAAGCTAAAAATGAGGAGGAAAAAAAGGAGAAAAAATTTGAAAGAACTAAAGGTAAAATGTTGATCTAGTTTGGTTATGTTTTTTAAAGTTTAGCTGAGTTTTTAGTGGAGGCTTTTATCTTTTAATAAATTTTTATCCATTTTTTTTACGGGAGTGGGACAAATGCGACCTTTTTTTGCGCACCCGGACATTTGCGCACCTTTTTTTCCGCAACTTGCCCATTAGCGCACCTTTTTTCGCGTTTTAAAAAAGCTCTAAAAAGCTAATATTAACCAATTTCTATTCCAAAAGTTGTTTTTCTAGGTAATTTGAGGGCGTAGAATCGAAATTTTGATATATCAGAGCGTGTGGAACCAATTTGAAAGACAAAATCAAAGCTAGATCAAATTACAGAAAATTGTCGATTTCTCTCTTTGTATAACTCCGTCCGTTTGTTTCCACAAGCTCTGATATGTCAAAATTTCGATTCTACACCCTAAAATTACCTAGAAAAACAACTTTTGGAATAGAAATTGGTTAATATTAGCTTTTTAGAGCTTTTTTTAAAACGCGAAAAAAGGTGCGCTAATGGGCAAGGTGCGGAAAAAAAGGTGTGCAAAAAAAGGTGCACAAATGTCCGGGTGCGCAAAAAAAGGTCGCATTTGTCCCACTCCCTTTTTTACAGATAATCAAGCCTTTTGCAGATAATTTTGCGTCTCCACATCCTCCTTTTGCTATTAAAACTATTAAAGCAAAAGGAGGACATTATTGAATAGGCTCTCGTTTTCTTGTTTCTTGTTGTTCAATAAATTTCTTTTAGTTTAAAATTCTTTTTTTTTGTACAGAATTTTGGTATGAAATGCCTTGAATATCTTGTTATGAAATGTCTTGAATAACTAATTATGGCGCACCCTGTACTCTAAGTCTACAGTAATCAAATATAAACTACAGCTTTATAATCAAATACTTGATTTCACTTATAAATATTCAACTTCTATGTTATGTTTTGATACTTTTAAATGAGAATTTCGAATGCTCATTCACGTGAATTCCTTTTTTGGGGAAAAGCTTTCGATTCTCCGTTCTCTTTCGAGATTTTCGATGTTCAGATTGTAGACAGACACGCGAATGTCTAGTTATCTCTCGAAAAAAACGGATCTGAACAGAAAGCTTTGATCCCAAAGAAATCTGAACAGAAGGCTTTGAAATATAGATTTTCTTAAAGCTAGATCTTTACCGAAACTTTGATTTGATTCTTATCTTTTATGCAAAATCATTTTTTCCATCAGAAATCTAAAAGCAATTTTGCTAGAACTTTTAACTACATTAAAAATAGCAGACTTTGACTTGATTAGCAGCACTTTGACTAGCAGATTTATTTTGATCTGTAAAGATCTGTAAAATTTTTGATTTTATAGCTTATAAACGCAAAAATTATCTTTCTAATAAGAAAAAGTTTAAATATTTTTGTTAAATTTCTTAAAATTTGATTCCAGATTGATTTGTTGAGAAGGAATTAGAATTAAATTCAATTAGAGGAAAGCAAAATAAAGAAAAAAGTCTATTTGTACACGTGAATCTTTTCTCTTTTCTGAAACTTTTCCCAGGTCATCTCATAATTTTCCTCTTTTTGTTTTTGCTCACTGCATCCGATCTAGAAATTCTTTGATTAGCTCATTGGTTGAGCAATTGCCAGCAAAAGATCGATGGTTCAATCCTTCCAGAAATCTTTCTTTACCATACTTTATTAACAATGACTGGCTGACTGACTAAAGATCAGATTTTTTTGACTGGCTGACTGATGGCTGACTAAAGATTTTTTGCAAAAAGAGGATCTAGCCAGCTGCTTCTTTCAACTCTTAGAACTTACAGAAATCTTAGAATCAAAAAATTTTGGATTTGATTAATGGTTAAGATATTTTTATTTAGTCCATTTGTGAAGATCGAATCAAAAAAGTTTCTTGCCAGCCTCTAAAATAGAATTCGATAGCCCAAACTCAAATAATGATCAAAATAGGGATGCTCTTGATCTCTTTCATCTCATTATTCAATCCAATAAGATCAACATCAGTTTTCTAAAGTTTAATAATTCTTTAGTTGGTAAAGATGACTTTGCACTTCATTTCTTTTCAATTTCCTAAGCAAACCATAACTTTTTCAATCATTTTTTATCAATAACAATTGAATATTTATGTGTTATGAGTCAAAATTTCATCCAAATCTGATGCTTTATTTTTAAAAAACATCTCAAGCATGCACAGGCAAAGAGTTACCGTATTTCTTCGAATAGAAGACCGGGTAAAGAGTATGATCGCGTACTCCTGCGTAGCAGCCCTTTTTAAAATTTCTTTTCTGCATAAAAGCTTTCAATGAAGTGCTATACAGCTGGAAAATGGCTCAAAAAGCTGTTAGCTCATGTGGTATTTTTGAGTCATTTTCCAGCCCTACAGCACTTGATTGAAAGCTTTTATGCAGAAAAGGAATTTTAAAAAGGGCTGCCACGCAGGAGTACTCATAGATAATTTGGAATCAATCTTGTGAACTTTGGATGTGTTTGGATGACTTATTAGGACCCGGTTTAATTACCCAAGTGCCAACTTTACGTCTAGGGCAGTCTTCCAGAAGTCATCCGTCCTTTTTTTTATCCAATTCGGTTTAATTACCCAAATCTTTGATGGGTTTTGTTGTGAATTTATTGATTTCAAAGTTAAAATTGTATTTGGAAGGTATGTGACGAAAGCTTGTTATATTTGAGTCATTTTCCAGCCCTATAGCACTTCATTGAAAGCTTTTATGCAGAAAAGAAATTTTAAAAAGGGCTGCTACGCAGGAGTACGCGATGATACTCTTTACCCGGTCTTCTATTCGAAGAAATACGGTAGTTATTTTTAAACTCCCATCACAACTTAATGATGTCTATTGAAATAATGTTAATTAGAAATTTAATTCAACAATTTTTAAATTGATTTGAGAATTGAATGATCATTATTAACGAAATACGAATGATCAATTGTTATTGACAAAAAGTTACAAAGAAATTGGAGTTTGGTTGATTTGGTTGATTAGGAAATTGAAAAGGAATGATTTGCTAGACAAATTTAATAGAACAGATGCTTATTTCCCAATTTCCCAAGTTTTTCTTAATTAGAATTCACCAAGCAGGTGATTTCATATACAAAAGCTTATGATTTTCTAAAAATTTGCATTATGATTCAGTTTTCAAACCAAGAAAATCCCATAAATCTTTGATTTATTAACATAACTTTAAGAATTATTACAACTCATCTACCGAGAAAACCCTTCAAGTAACTCTTTTCTTAATAAACGAGATATTCCTAAACCTATTATTTCTTTAAATCAATAGATCAAATAACTATTAGGTTGTTCGGATCTAAACAAGCGTTGCTAAACTTATTGTTGTGAGAGAAGCTTTTAAAGCTTTAAGAGAAGATTTTAAAGCTTTAAGAGAAGCTTTTAAAGCTTCTTTTAAAACATGTCTTTCTGTATTTAAAAGTACGCTATCTTGTGCATATTTGAAATCTTTTTAAACGAATAGTTTCTTATCTTTAAGATCTTTTTTCTTGCCTTAGATGACCGACTTCAAATATATAAAGTTCTGTCTACTTTACGACTTCAAACTGGGCAAAACAGTAGCGGAATCTCATTGAGATTTGGTCAAAGCATTTGGGAATGATGTATTGTCCGAAAGCCGATGCCGAGCCTGGCTCCAACGCTTTCGGAATGGTGATGAAAGTCTCGAGGATGATGAACACTCTGGTCAACCTCAAGCGGTAGACAACGATACTTTGAGGGCTGCAATCAAATCGGATCCATGTCAAACGACGCGTGAACTTGCTCAACAGTTTCTATGTTCAAATTCTACTATTGATGAGCATCTCCACACCATTGGAAAGATGATATGATGCGGGAAATGGCTTCCTCACAAGTTAAGCAGAGCAAACGCTCGTTTATATCCAAACAACTTAGATTGCTAACTGGCAAGGTTGTTCAAAAGTAATAGATCAGATCAGACCAGAAACCAGGTCAAAGCTTAGCTCTTGACTTGCCAAGCTAGTTTTGTTGCAAACATTGCTCACAAAAAGTCTTGCTCTGCCTGTTTTGGACTGACTTACATGACATAGGGACTAGTTGAACAATTCTCGATACAACTAGGATAATAACTAGCTTTTTATTTAATTTAATGTCAGTATTTCTTGATCTCTTCACCGTTAAAATGAAATGTTTCTTGCATTGTACCAAAAAAAACAAAATTAGAATAATCTTTTGAAAACATGGAGCACTTTCGTGAGATCATGATTTTATTTCATTTCAAGACGACATTTCGAAGATTTAAATAGAGAAAAGCCGATTTTCTCGTTGTAGGCGGTGGGAGGGGATTTTACCATTAGTGATCCCTGTTTCTTTTCTTCTGTGACAAGACAATTATGCAAAAAGGTTTTTTTTTTCGATTTTCCTCTTTCGTTTGAAGCATTGGATCTCTTTTGAACGAACAGTAGTAAACATAAATCTCTGTTGTGGCTGGGTTGACGCGACTGGTTTACAACTCTATAAAAATGGTAGGTAATTGCTTTCTTTCTACTTTGAAACAATTGAAAACAATTCGAGTTTTGAACTTTATAAATAGCTTTAAAATTTTGCATTTAAAATTTAGCTCTTATTAGGTTGTCCAGTTATGAATGCGCGCCTGCTCTTGAACAGCGTACTTTAGGGCTATACAATTTTATCAAACCCTATTCTCTATATGCTGTTCAAGATAGTTACAGTCGAACTTCGAATTTGAAATTCTAGAATGTACCCAAAATTTTTAGGTTCATTATATCGAAGTTTTCGGTCCCGAGGGATTTGTTATATCGAAATTCGGCTGTATTATGGTTCTAAAAATATAGTTTTTGACAAAGCTTGTGGAGTGGCGGAGGCGCCACTCCAAAATTTTAAAAAATGGTACTATACCTCCGCCATTCCAAAGTTTTAACAAACGTTACTATGCGGTTAGCGTCGTCCCTATGCATCAATGCGTGTATTTGTGAATTTAGCCTAGTCTGATGTCAGTTCGGCAGAGGTTTTTGACGTTAAACACCTCTGCCCAAGTGACATCAGGCTAGGCTAAATTCACAAAAGTCTGGGTGAATTTAGCCTAGCCTGATGTCGCTTGGGCAAAGGTTTTTGACGTCAGTAACCTGAAAATCATCGATCCGGGTGATAAATTCCAAAATCTTATCTAAAATCTCTTAACGAGCGTCTTGGCACAGATTTGATACTCCCCTACACAGAGATTTGATACTCCCCTACACAGGGATTTGATACTCCCCTACACAGATTTGATACTCCCTACAAGATTTGATACTCCCCTACACAGATTTGATAATCCCCTTCACAGGTTTTATACTCCCCTACAGAGATTTGATACTCCCCTACACAGATTTGATACTCCCCTTCACAGGTTTTATACTCTCCTACACAGATTTGATCAGCCACTTCAGCAACGAAACATTTGTTTGGGTGGCGGATAACCGAAAAGTACCCTCAAAAATAGATTTTATTTGTCACTTTGAAAGTTTTTACTCGGATTATTTGTTGTATCACTTACAAATTCAACAAAAACCACCACTTTACATTGAGTTTCTTTTTGAAATCCGAGCTTACTTTTTTTTAGATCAGAAAATTTATGTTTAAAACAGTGAAATTGTTGAAATTTGATATTTATTTGAATTCAATTCTATTTGAAACCTTTTTTTTGTTTAAAAACTTGCTGATTGTTAAGGCAAAACTTTGCCCATTGAATCCCAGTAACATTTTCTTTTTTTGCCTAGCAATTTTCAAACTTACAAATCTGACTTTCTGGCTTGTAAATGTTGTGGAGATTAAAAGCAAAATTCGATTCGAATCAATTAGTTTTTAGATGTTCTTGATCGCGAAAATCGTTCGTGGCCGACGTTTGCTGCATGAATTAGAGCAGGTGAATTAGTTTGGAAAAAATGAATGATGAAACTATTGGGTTGGTGAATTGAAAACTGCGGGCTATTGTCATATGTGACAGTTTGAGCACTTTCTTCAAAAGAAACCCATTTTGATGTCAATGGAAAAGTTGTAGAGAATCAAAAATTAGGCTTATATTCAAATTTTTAGAATGATTCAAAAACTGGTTTTCAAGAAATGCCAAATTTACGAATTTTCACAAAACTTGCATTTTAAGCGAAACTACTAAGTGTATCTTTTTGGAAATTTGGCTATAAGCCTAATTTTTGATTCTCTACAACTTTTCTTTTGACACCAAAATGGGTTTCTTTTGAAGAAAGTGCTCAAACTGGGACATCTCCAGTCCTCTATTTTTGAGTCTCACACTTGTCTTGTCTGGTCACACACTTGTCACACACAAACCAAAATCCAAGTCAAAGATCGTTCTCCTCCACGACAACGCGCGCCCTCACGTTGCAAAACTGACTCGCTCTAAAATAAATAGCCTTGTTTGGAAACTTTTGGCGCATTCCCCATAAAGTCCGGACCTCGCCCCTTTTGATTACTATTTATTCCGGATCATGAGCTTGCGGGAGAACACTTCGATTCGGAAGAAGCAGTCAAAAATTGGCTTTGGAAGTTTTTCGATTCAAAACCAAAATCCTACTACGAAAGAGGAATCCGGAAATTGCCTGTAAAATGGGCAGAAGTCGTCAATAATAATGGAAATTATTTGGAATGAATTGATCGTTTTATGTTGAATAAATTTTAGTTCAAAGTCCCGCAGTTTTCAATTCACCAACCCAATAGAAAGTGATTGAAAACTATGTAATAAGTGATTACCGAGTAAATGAGTAATTTACAAATGTTCTTTTTAGGAGGAAAAGGAAGAAGAAGAGGCTTTAGCCTCATCACGACGAGCTCAAGGACTGCCATCTGGACGACTTCGAGCTAGTGGATCTGGGCCATCACAGGAGCAAAATGATGAGGTTTTTTACAGAAAGCTCTTTTTATCAAAGCGGTTTGCTAGATGGAAAGCGATTACGCAGTCGCACAAAGAACACCTTGTCATATAGGGATTTCCCTTTTCCCTTTTACAAGATTTTGAGCTGTAAATTTGTACCCGGGATTTTCGAGATTGGAAATCGATTGTAGATATTCATTTCGAGTCTACTAATTCGATTAAAACGGTTTTAGTTGACCGAAACTTATTTCTTTACCTGACTTATCTGATTTACCTCTCAATCTAGTATCCTAAATTTTTCCCCTTTAGCCGACAACTTCAAAAACAAACGATTTACCCGTTCATCGCTCGCAAACAACTCGAAGAAAGTATGTTCTCACTTTCACTTAGCAACTAGTGCACGCATTTACCCTCCAAAACAAAGAAACTAACAAAGCCAAAAGCACGGCTAATCTTTGCATGGCTTTGTGGGTATTTAGTGAATTCTCATCGAAAAGTCTTCGTCATCGATCACCGTCAATTTGGAGATCGGGATCATCAAGAAGAAAATCAACAGCTATTGATGAAATGTTACTCTTTCATGAGGAAAGGTAAGGGATTTTGAAGAAGAGTTACGGTACTTGTCGATATTTTTCCCCACAAATCTGAGCCTAAGATCTTATCTTATCCTCGGCAAACACTTCACATAAGAAAGAGTTCCCAATCGATCGTCAAATCTTTGCAAATATTTAAATGTTGTTCGCAGAAATTGATTGAAATTATTCTAATTGTCTTTAAATTAAGGTATTGAATGTAAATTTGCTGAATTTGTCGGGAAAATATCGACAAGTACCAGAGTTTCTAACCAAGCATGTGATGAACAAATTTGAAAGTTCAAAGGATACAAAATTCAAACTAGATTTATCTTTTAAAGACAAAGCTGTCAGTAATCCTTTAAACTTTCAACTTTCTAGTTTGTCCAGTACTAGTAACCCTTTAAAGTAACTATTACTTTCTAGTTTTTCCAGTACTAGTAACCCTTTAAAGTAACTAGTACTTTCTAGTTTTTCCAGTACTAGTAACCCTTTAATGTAACCAGTACTTTCTAGTTTGTCTTTAAGCTTCTTGGAGTTTTTGTTGATTTAACTTTTTTACTTTTGTGGTGGTAAAACTCAATAGAAGTAGTAGGTTCATTGAAGAACAACAGCTACTTCATCTTTATTTTTAACAACTAAAAAGCTCTTTCTCAAGGAAGGAGTTGAAAAAATTGAATTTGACTCACAAGAGTGATTCGGTCAAACGACGACAAGTTGCGTCTTTTTTGCGAGAAGGAATTTCGTTTAAGACTTCATTAGAAGAATAGACTTGAAAGTTGCTTAGTTTCTTCTTAAAATCAAAAACTTTTCGAGATCTTAACATTTGAATTTTTTTTGTATTAGATTGTAAACTAAATAATTTGACTTTTGGAAAAGTGGGTTTAAAAAAAATGATAACTGAACCAAATGAAATTTAGTTTAGATCATTTGGCATACCGTATTTTCTCTAATAGTAGTGCACCCTGAGCTTTGCCTAAAATTCTCGAAATCTCGAAAACCGCTTATCAGAACATGCGTTAGCTGAAATGTTGCTACAGTACGAAGACAGAAAAGGACACACTTTAGCAAACAATGGTTCGTTGTTCTTTTTGAAGCTTTCATTGATATTGCGTTGATTTTCAAGGCTAAGCCTAATTTTAAGCCTGGGCCTAAGCCTGGACCTAAGCCTGGGCCTAAGCCTGGACCTAAGCCTGGGCCTAAGCCTGGACCTAAGCCTGGGCCTAAGCCTGGACCTAAGCCTGGGCCTAAGCCTGGACCTAAGCCTAAGTCTAAGCCTGAACCTGAGCCTGGGCCTAAGCCTGGGCTAGGCCCCAAAATGTAGCTAATGTTGAGATCTAGTCGGGGATTAGAGTGTTGAGCTTCTGTAAAAGCTTGGAAGCCGTAAAAAAGTCACCAACTCGGCTCGCTGGGGTGCGCTACTATTAGAGAAAATACGGTATCTCAACAAGACTTTTAAGAGTTTTTGAACGTTTTCGGAGATGCAAAGAAAAGTTGATAAAAACAGAAAAGCGACTTTACAGCATTTTTTGATAAGTAAAAATTTTAATTCTTCGCGAAATAAAGCTTTTAGTTGTTCTTATTTTCTGTAAAATTACCAGCTAAATTGATCTAAATTGCTTTCAAATCATTTAGTCTAAAACACGAAAAAACTTAGCCATTTGACAAATTTTTTTGGCAGGAATTAGTTTTGCTTTTTTAGGTAAAATAAAGATTTAGATGTTCTATATATTCAGTAAAATTTTCAACAAAAACCGTTCAGCTGTTTTTTCTGAATTTTGGTTTAAAAAGAAGTTCTCAAATCAAGGATTTTGATCTGAATAACTTGAAATTTATAGAAAACGGCTGGATGGATTTTAATGAAAATTTTACTAAAAATGGAACAGAAATTGATCTTTCTTTGGCGTAAAAATTTAGTACCAATTCCAATCAAAAAAAGTTGCCAACCGTTTTGCCAATTTTTGTTTTGCTTACTCGTTTTTGAGCTCTCGAAAATCCTAAAAAACGAAAGCTTTTTTAAATTGCCAACAACGATTTTGTAGAGAAGATCTAGATCTTTCAAATGGCGAACCGTGCTTCATTTCATTTTGTATTCATTTTGTGCATTGAACATTTGTAAAATCAGTTGAAAGATTTTTAGTGGAAAAAAGTTCGCTTTTTGGTTAACAACTCAATAATTTCATCGATTATTTGCAAGTTTTTAGAGAATTTCGGGTTAGTTTTAAGAGCTTTTATCAAAAATTCCTTTATCTTTAGTCAGCTGGGGGTTTAAAGGCAATTTGCGTATTTAAACTCGAGTCACAATAGGTAATGTAAGGAAATGATTGGAAAACAAATCATTACCTTACAAAGAAACATTCCTTACAAAGAAAACCTGAACAAGCCGATTTCTAAGTCAAACTCAAGTCAATTTCTATTCTCGGCAAAGTGATTGCGCATGATGGTTTATTTGAAGAAATTCTCATTTCATTCATCCTCTTCAGGCGAGGATTTTTGCGCATTCACAGATTGTTTTTAGGCTCTTTTTTGGCTTTTCTTTTTGAAAGAAAAGGGGTTTCTTTTCGATTTCAAGGCTTTTTTTACTTCCTTTTCATTTCTTTTTTTTCAAAAATGAGTTTCTAAGAAAGGGATTAGATATCTGAAATCATTTTCAATGAATTTCAATTTCTTTAACCGTATTTAGCTGTAGCTTTTTAAAACTAACAATCACCGGATTGAAAGTTTGGATTTTTTTAAGCAAAAGTCCAATAGTCTCGAAAGCTTTAAATTATCTGTAGATGATCTTGATCTTGAAGCTCTAGTGGATTCTTAACGTTATCTGTGCTACCCATAAAATACATTATATCGTTTTTCTTTTTATCGGCCCTTTTCGTGTTATATGTATGAATTCATGTGTTTTAATCTTAAATCTAGCGCACTTTATCTCAAAGTCTTAAATAAAGTATCTATCTAGATATAAATTAAAGCTAACTGAGATCAATTATAGAAGCTTTTTATGGAACGCTTAGAGCTATCAGTTCTTTTCGTGTTATGTGTATGAATTCATGTGTTTTAATCTTAAATCTAGCGCACTTTATCTCAAGTCCTGAATAAAGTATCTATATATAAAACCCTTTTCAAACCTTTACCAATTAACATATCTTAGAATTAAGAATCGTTAAAAATTTGCAAAAATCAAAGTACCGAAAGTATCAATCTTTTTTATGATTTGATTTCCCAATTTTAAAGAAAGAAATACAAATGAGCAAGTGATTTTAAAGCTTTTATAATTGTTTTTGTTTTGTATTTTGTTGAAACTTCATTCTTAAAATAACCTCACATCAAAACATCGTCATTTCCCATATCATTCACGAACCAGGAAAAAAAAAACAAATTCTCATTTTGTTCCACCCACTTTTGAATGCTCATTTAACAACAGAAAAAGCTTTTGTCTTTTTTGGGGTTTAAAATATTTGTCTTTGCTGAGATTTGACGTGAATTTTTGGGGGGTTTAAGAGTGGGGAATTTAGAGTGCGGAATTTGAGCCCTTTGGCATTGAATCGCACGCCCTTTGGCATTGAAAAAACATGAGAAAGCATTAGGAAATGTTTAGCAATGAAATCTTGAAGTATTGAAGGGACTTTTTATTATATATTGTTCTAAATTGATGACTGGTTTCACTAGGTACAATGAAAGTCATTCGGGGATGAAAAGCGAGACGGCTGGAATGCATTTTGAAGAGAGTTGTTATATGAGGCTTTGTCAATGGACTTGTTGCAAAGAATTTTCTTTTAATCTTATATAATCTTATATAATATTATAACAACTTTGTTTCGTTCTTTAAAAAGTTAAAAACCTTATTAGTATCCCTCTATTCCCTTTGATTCCTTTGATAATTTTTGTTTTATTTTTCATTTCATTCGCTTAATTGCCTTTATGAGCTAATTTTTATACTACTTTATATTTAAATATTCTTTTTATATATAATTTTTACACCAAATATAGTCTCTAAACCGATTCTAACAGAAAAACTAAGGATTTTTGTCAAAAGGAGGCCTATCAACATTGAATTAAAGATAATTAATTGATAATACCGTATTTTCTCTAATAGTAGACCCCGACCAGCCGAGTTGGTGACTATTTTATGACTTCTAAGTTTTCACATAGGCTCAACACTCTAATCCCCCACTAGATCTCATCGTCAGCTACATTTTCCGACCCCACATCGATAGGTTCTGATAAGCGGTTCTCGAGATTTCGAGCAATTTAGAAAACGCTCAGGCTTAGACTTAGGCTTAGGTTCAGGCTTACGCTCAGTTTTTCCTTGCTTTATTCTGTTGAAGTTAGCATAACTTTTAGGAAATCAGAATATTTAGCAAATTTTCCGGCTTGAAAATCAATGCACTATCCATCAATAAAAACTTCAAAAAGAACAACGAACTATTGTTCGCTAAAGTGTATCCTTTTCTGTCTTCGTACTGTAGCAAGATTTCAGCTACCGTATTCCCTCTAATAGTAGTGCATCCCGGCGAGCCGAGTTGATGACGATTTTACGGTTCCCAAGCTTTTGCAGAAGCTCAACACTCTAATCCCCCACTAGATCTCATCGTCAGCTACATTTTCCGACCCCACATCGATAGGAGGTTCTGATAAGCGGTTCTCGAGATTTCGAGCAATTTAGGCGACGCTCAGGGTGCACTACTATTAGAGAAAATCTTAAAAACTATACCAATTCAATTTACTTTCAATCTCCAAAGTGATGTCTGTTTTTCTCTAAAACAATTCTAGATTTAGATCTAGCCCTATGCTTTTTGAGAGAAAGTTCATCAATGAATCTTCTTCTTTTTCACTTTCCCATATCCCATTACCGATCATTCCACTTTCTCTGCAAAATAGACTCTTAAATATTCAATTATCTTTCGATAAAACTCCTCACCACTTAAATTGGTCGAAACTCAACGCTTATCAGAACCTATTGATGTGGGGTCGGAAAATGTAGCTGACGATGAGATCTGGTGGGGGATTAGAGTGTTGAAGCTTCTGCAGAAGCTCAACACTCTACCCCCCCCCATCGTCAGCACATTTTCCGACCCCACACAAAGGTTCTGGGAACCGTTAAATTGTCGACCAATTTAGGCAACGCTCAGGGTGCACTACTATTAGAGAGAATAAGGTAATGATAATAATATAATTAAACATCGAATAGAATCATTGGAGATCCAGAGAAAACTTTATTCTGCTTTCCTTTTGCAGAACTTCAACGAATTCACTAGAAAATTGCTAATTTCATAACCGATTAATTTTTTTTAAAAAAACTTGAGAGCTTGTGTATCTTTTAGTGCATTTAATTTAAAATTTTCCAATTTTTCTTACAAGAGAAATGTTTTTTGTTTTTAAAGAAATCCGAAAAAAAGGAACGGAAAAAAAGAACACGCAAGAGAGAAAAAAAGAAAAGGATTCAATTTCATTACGTTCGATTTTAAAGTTTTTCCTTGCTTTATTCTGTTCAAGTTAAGCATAAGTTTTAGGAAATTGGGATATTTAGCAAATTTTTTAGACGTTTTAAGAATCTCTAAAGCTTTATTGACTAAAATAAATGGATTTTTGATCAAAGAAACAAAGAGAAATATTAGTTTAGAGCTTAAAACAATAATTTTATCATTATTGTTTGAACTCAAGCTTGAATTCAGCTATTTAACAGCTAAACACGGGAGTGGGACAAATGCGACCTTTTTTTGCGCACCCGGACATTTGCGCACCTTTTTTTCCGCACTTAGCCCATTAGCGCACCTTTTTTCGCGTTTTAAAAAAGCTCTAAAAAGCTCATATTAACGAATTTCTATTCCAAAAGTTGTTTTTCTAGGTAATTTTAGGGCGTAGAATCGAAATTTTGGCATATCAGAGCTTGTGGAAGCGAACAGACAGAGTTATACAAAGAGAAAAATCGACAATTTTCTGTAACCTAGCTGTTTTGTCTTTCAAATTGGTTCCACACGCTCTGATATGTCAAAATTTGAATTCGACACCCTTAAATTACCTAGAAAAACAACTTTTGGAATAGAAATTGGTTAATATTAGCTTTTAGAGCTTTTCTAAAACGCGAAAAAAGGTGCGCTAATGGGCAAGGTGCGGAAAAAAAGGTGCGCAAATGTCCGGGTGCAAAAAGGTCGCATTTGTCCCACTCCCTATTTTAGAGAATAAATAGACCTTTTTATTGATGAAAACTGTAGATTAATTGATGCAATAGTTATTTCTAAAAAGACCAATGAATAAGTGTATCCAACTCTCAAGTTTCTACTCTAATAGTTCTCTTCTTTATAAGTAAACGATAAAAAACCCCAATTTTTGCACTAGAATACAATCTAAACCATTAAAATAATTAAAATCATTCGCCAGTAAGAATGTTGTTTAAAATTTATCAACAATTAACAATCAACAAACTTGAAAATTGTGGAAAGTCCTAGAAGAACCCGTAGTCATCCTTATCAAATTTCGCTCGGTTCTCATCCCCACCACCTTTCCCTTTATCATTCTTTCGCGAACCGTATTAGTAGGGTTTGGAATAAGCTCCCGCCTGGTATCTTCTCGTCTGTAGGAAAATTCAAAGTATCTGTAAACGAATTAGATCTAATTGCCATGTCAAATCTGCCTTATATTTAAGCTTTTTGTACCTGTTTTTCCTGATTATCGTCCTACTGTATCTCTAGGTTTCTTTCTTTTTTTGTGAAAGTATTGTAGCAATTATATGCGGTTATGATTATCTGATTCGCTTCTATTCGCCCTCCTGAATAAAGCATATATATATATATATATATAAAAAACCCCAATTTTTGCACTAGAATACAATCTAAACCATTAAAATAATTAAAATCATTCGCCAGTAAGAATGTTGTTTAAAATTTATCAACAATTATGAATTGTTGCCTGAAAAAAGCGTCTTTATTAGCTATTTTAAGTAGTTGAATGATCAAATTTCCAATTATTTCCACCTCCGAGTCGTTCCGAAAAATGAGATTTCTTTCCCAAAACTCTTCTCATTTTTCCTCGATCCGGATAACAATATTTCTTTAAATCAAAAACTTTTTATATAGAGATTAACAATTCAAATCGTTTTTTGAATCATTGAGGCAGTGAATTCATCTATTCCTTCAATCTACCTTCAATCTCCTTCAATTCATTTATCTACCCTTTATCTATCATCTACCTACCTTTATCTCCTTTATCTACCCATTTCTCTATTCTCTAAATGTCAAAAAGGACAAGTCTAACAGATTTCATGTCATCATTGACCGCCACTGCAGCTCTCTCCAAATCTTTTATCGATATTTTCACAATGGGAATGTCGTGAGTTTTTGTATTAAGGAGTGACTCAAGAAGTCTACTTAAATACTACTAGAGTTTTTCTAAAAGATTTTTGAAAATACAGCAGCAAATCTGTGGCCTTAAACAGCCTAACTCATTTTAATGACTTTTCTAAACTCAACTCAAGAAGTCTACTTCAAATTTGATTTCTGTATACTTTTTAGCTTACAAATATCCTTTTCCAATCAGTTTTGGTTGTCTAAAGTAAAGAAATAAATTTGGCAAAAGAAGGCAAAAGATTCCCCCTAGCGAATCGAACCCTTGACCTCCTGCTTGCCAGGCGGTTGCCACTGAGCTATCGGCGTCTTTTTCGACCCAGAAGAAATAGGAAATACAAGGAAGAAAGAAAGGAAAATCCCCCAAGAGCTGAAGCAAGAGCTGAAGCAAGAGCTGAAGCAAGAGCTGAAGCAAGAGCAAGTCTTCAGTGCGCTTGAAAGTCGGACTAAAGTAAAGAAATGAATTTGGAAAAGAATTTGGCAAAGAATTTAGAACCAAGGGGGAATTGAACAACTATAACTTACAAGAGCTGAAGCAAGAGCAATAAACGAATCGTATTACTCTGGTTATCTTCTCCCAACTAGTTCTTTTATCTTTCAAGGCTAAATTGCTCTTAATTTCTAGCTTTACTCAGTTTAATATGCAGTGAATCATAAAAATCTTTTCCTTTTTATTTTTAGTTATTCAAAGCCCTTTGATATTTTGATAATCTTTAAGCTAAGCTTTCCTTGCGAGCAGTTCTTTCAAGTGCTATTTCCTAAAGAATTCTGAAATCCATTAACTCTTGAGAAAAAAAGTGAAGAGGGCAGTGTAAGCCAATCCTTTTCCATTCAAAAATCTTATCATCAAAAATCTAAAAAGAAAAATGCTCGTTTTAAGATAAACAAGTTTATCATAGCTCCCAAGAATGTCAGAATCGACGAAATTCAAAGCGTTTACCTTTCGAAAGCTGCTTGTATTCAGGAAAAATAACAATTCATTGATGGAGCCACACAATCGACGATCCTACGATTTTACGGCAGTCGGGTACTTGTAAAATTTGGGAAAAAAAAAGAGGAAAACGCTTGTGAAATAACCTTTTATGTGAAAATTGTTGTCTTGTAAAGCACTAATTAAAGCACTAATCCTTCCCTAAAGCACTGAAATTTTAGGGTCAAGTATTTCAATTAGTTATTTATTTTATTTATTTAGAAAAACAGTACGTCAAAAGACCGATGGCTCGTTTGGAGAATCGGAAGAATTAGATCGAAATGGAATGCGAAGAACGAGCAGTATGCCAAGTGTTTGTGAACCAGGTGGGCTTTTAGATATGAAAAATAATAGAATTGAATGATAAACTTGTTTTCCGACCCCACATCGATAGGTTCTGATAAGCGATTCTCGAGATTTCGAGAATTTTAGGCAAAGCTCAAGCTTAGACTTAGGCTTAGACTTAGGCTTAGGCTTAGGCTTAGGCTTGGACTTAGTGCGAAGGCTAGCGGCTAGCGCCTAGCACTAAGTCTATTTGGGTTTGGGCTGAACCCCCATTTTCTGGATCTCAGCCAGTTCTCGGAGCTAAGGGACACCCGCTTGGCGATGTGCATGCACCCCCCATAGGAGCATCCTGACAAATTTTCAGGTAGTTGTCTGGAAGTCGTCTGGAAGTCGAGATATAGAAAGTGGTTTTTACGATTTAGGCTTAGGCTTAGGCTCAGGCTCAGGCTTAGGCTTAGGCTTAGGTTCAGGCTCAGGCCCAGGCTTAGGTCCAGGCTCAGGCTCAGGCTTAGGCTTAGGCTTAGGTTCAGGCTCAGGCCCAGGCTTAGGTCCAGGCTCAGGCTCAGGCTTAGACTTAAGCTTAGGTTTAGGCTTACGCTCAGGCTCAGGCTTAGACTTAGGATTAGACTTAGTAGTATGCCAAGTGTTTGTGAACCAGGTGAAGAGCTTTTAGATATGAAAAAAATGATAGAATTTAATGGTAGACTTGTTTGATATAAAATGCACAACTTTTCGGGACTACACACTACACATCTTTAAGCACATGGCTTTCACAACTTATTTTAAAGCTTGATCAATAAAAAAAGAACCCAAGTCACATTTTGAATCGAATGAATCAATATAGATAAAAAATAAAAATCTCCATCACACTTTTGGTGAACCTAGAGGAAATGACCCTCAACATCAGAAACTATACCAAAATACAAGACTTTTTGTTTTGCCACTTTTTATTTGGCTTAACCGTTTTTTTCTAAAATCGTGCCCTTAGAAATTCTAAGTTAAAATCGAGGCCTTAACGTGGCCCTTTTTGCGTTGCGAGCAGTTATTAGCTTGCCCGCCTCGAAGCCTCGAAGCACTAACCACTCGAGGCCGAGTGGTTAGTGTGCCCGTCTAAGGCGGCCGCCAGAATGAGGGGCTCGGTTCGACTCTTGGCAGAGTTCTTTCACGTTTTCAAAATCTTTTTATGGAAACAAATGTTGGGCTGGGTAGAAGGCTAAGTGATAAGCCAGCGTTCAGCCGCTATTGCCGCTAGGGTCGCCGTGTGGTGACTCTTATCAGCTTGTCTACTTTTAATGAATCTAATGAATCGACTTTCCTATTGAGAAATGAATCAAATTCATCTTTAATAAATAACTTGCTTTCAGTGATCCCTTCATCATCTGGCCCTTCATTACGCCATTATGATTATGATGGAAAGTTGAATAAACTTCAGAAGAAAGCACTTCGTTTTACATGGCATCGATTGCAAACAAGGAATGGTGGGAAACGAGTGGAACAAGTCTTTGAAGAGGTTGTTTAAGATTTCCAGAAACTGTTCAAATAATAATCTAGGTTTTCGATCGTTTGGTTCGACAAGTGCCTCAAGTTAGAGAGATGTTCACGACGAGGATGTTTCTCTGTGCAATGAATCGTCATGAAACTGCTTCTCTACGTGATCATTCTAGGGTTTGTTTTGATATAGAATTAAGCTCCAACTTACAAGCTATTTAAAACGAATCATTAAATTTTCAAATGCAAAAAGCAAAAGACAAAAAGTAGGTTGGCTGGCTCGAACTAGAGATTCTTTGCCTTGTATTATAACTGCCTTACTGTCACTTACTCCCATGTAACTGCCTTACTGCCATGTAACTGCCTTACTGCCATGTAACTGCCTTACTGCTATGTAACTGCCTTACTGCCATGTAACTGCCTTACTGCCACGTAACTGCCTTACTGCCATGTAACTGCCTTACTGCCATGTAACTGCCTTACTGCCATGTAACTGCCTTACTGCCATGTAACTGCCTTACTGCCATGTAACTGCCTTACTGCCACTCAGCCAATTCCTAGCTTCCTAGTAAACAATTCCTAGTAAACCAACTGATCTATAAGAATATCAATTTTTAGGCAATCGTTCGAATGATCGATGTTGTAATCAAGAATCTTGAGGTTGAGCGTTTAAAGCGAACAGATACCGCCAGTGAAATGGATCCAAGATTGATCGGTTTATAGACTAAGAGATTTTCGAAAAATGAAAGTTTAGGTCGTAGTCACGGCTCTCTAAGACCATATGGAATGACTGGGAATTATTGGGAGAAATTGGGCGAGACGATTGTTGATGTTGTGCTAGCACAAGAAGCGGTGAGAGATCTCCCTGGAGCTGGACAAGCCTGGGTGATCCTAGCTGCTTGTTTAGTCGATCAGGTAATGATTAAATTACGATAGAAATTGCTTAAAAATTGCTTCAATTTAAAATCGAACACAAACATTTTAGCTTCGAGCCGGTTTTGATGAGACGAGATTCACCCAAAATCAAGGAATTCTCAATAAGCAGGGAACTGTTCTTCACCACGCCACTCAACATCTCAATCGGGATATGTCAATTGATGAAAATCATATTGAAGAGTGTCCAATGGTATGTAAATGTGACAAGAAAAGTATTTCATTCAATGATTAACTCAAAAGTAGTCATAGTTATAGTTAACTATGTGTTTACACACCGTAAATACTTTAATAAAAGCCCCCTATATAGGAGCGTCGCGTAGTCGAAGTTTACTCTCAAATAAACGCTCATATCTTGGCAACAGTACGTTTGTTTCTACAGGGTTAAGTATCAAATTAAAGTAGAGAGAATGAGTGATTTTTTGAGATATAACACTTATTTTTAGCATTAACCAGTGCTTAGATAAAAATGATTGAAAAATCGGCTTTTTTGTAGCCGAAGTTGACACTCAAAGAACCGCTCATATCTTGACACCAGTACGTTTGTTTCTACAGGGTTAAGTGTCAAATTAAAGTAGAGAAAATGAGTTATTTTTTGAGATATAAAACATATTTTTAGCATTAACCAGTGCGTAGATAAAAATGATTGAAAAATGATGAAAAATCGGCTTTCTTTTGCCACTTAGTTTCTTATGATTAAATGATTCGCTACTATTAGATTAAAACTTTAGCTAGTATTACTATTAAACAATGTTACTATTACTATTATTATCGTCGATTTTTAATTTTGCAAGAGAAGTAACAAGTTTCTGTAGAGGCAAGTGCTTTCCTTTGTCTAATGAGAAATTTCAGAATGTTAGTCTAGGATATTTTTAAATAACTAAGCTAAAACTTACTTGTTTTAGCCTAGCTATTTCACGCTAGCCTAGCCTGCTTAAACGTTTGAATGATAAACAATGTTACTATTACTATTATTACGTCGATTTCCAATTTTCCAAGAGAAGTAACAAGTTTCTGTAGAGACAAGTGCTTTGTCTTTGTCTAATGAGAAGTTTCAGAATGTTAGTCTAGGATATTTTTAAAATAACTAGGCCAAAACTTATTCTCTCAAAAGCTTTATTTATTATTTGAATAGGCTATGTCATCACATTCTCCTCCTTCACCTCCTCCAATTCTTGACGAGGGATGCCGTCGTCAATCTAGACCACGAACTGAGGAAGCTTCTGCTTAAGAATCGACCAATGAATCAAAGAATCAAAGAATCAATTTTAAACTTTAACTTTCTTTCGTTGTCCAATTTTTCCACTTTTTTGCTATCCTTATCAACTTCAGGCTGTTTTTCGTTTTGTGCAATAGAAAATAGATTCATTTTTTTTCAAATTGTACATTAATAAAATGTTTTCGTCAAATCTTGATAACAATAACACTATTTTGTAATCTTTCATCATTTTGTGTGCTTTTTCGGAGGCATACTCGTCCAAATTCGCCTGAATATGCATCAAGTTGCCCAAAGCCAAGATCATCAACAACTCGTGGTGATAATTCCTAAAAAAAAACGGGGTAGGCTAATTTCCGCATGTTTTTTGAGCAACAGGGTCATTAGCGCAACTGGGTCGTTTGCGCAACTTGCCAGAACTTTTCTATTAGTTTCATCGATGAGACCTCCACCTACATTTGACTATGAGCCTCGAATGGCATCATCTCTAGCCAAGTAATAACGAAATTCTTGTCAAAACCGTCTTTCAGATCTTTACCAATAGTTCTCTTCATGATTGTCACAACGGATCTCTTTGCTCGAGCTGGAATCTTCTTTGAACTCCTCGAGCTTAACTTCGGCTTTCTCATCGTGATCGGTTCTGATTCAGCCGATTATTATTTCTATACCCTTAGAAGTGAGTTGCTATGATTCGCGATCACCCTGTAAATCGTTTTCAGCGGGCTGCCTCTCGAATTGCACAATCAAAGTGCTTCAAGTTGTTGGTCATAATGTTTTTGTGAAAGTCTTTGATCGTGAGCTTTTAGAAAGCTAGAAAGCTTTCTAGCTTCACTGACAAATCGTATGTTTACACTAATCAAATCCTATTTCGTTCATGATTTCAGTTTTACAACTACGACAGCTACAACATGAACCACAACCACAACTATGACTACCACTCCTGTTGTTGTAAAAGCCACAACGATCGCGACGGCCACGACGACTAGATCTACAACAACAGAACAATCGCTTTTACGGCCAATTGAAAAAGTGACTGTGGCGATAAACTATATACTTTTGAATATCGACGCTGTACAGGTAAGTTGAGCAAGAAATTTACTCAGATTTTACCTCATTTATCATCTTTTTAACAAGAACAACAACTCTCCAAGCTACAAAAGTTTCAAAGCTTTCAGTTCTCTTGGCCTCCTGGTGAAGTCACTAACCAGTCGGGCATGGCGGCGAGAGTTCATGTGACAACACCACCAGCAACCACGACCACTACAACTACAACAATCACTATTACTTCAACGTCGTTCAATTCAACCACAACAACTTCAACTAAGACAGCTACAACATCAACCACAACCACAACTATAACTACCACTCCTGTTGTTGTAAAAACCACAACGATCGCGACCGCCACGACAACTAGATCTACAACAACAGAACAATCGTTTTTACAGCCATAACCAAGACGAGTACCAGAATTTTGAAATCAACTGTTTTCTTTTTACTTTGTCTACTTCCAGCGCTTGTCATTTGAGTCTGATAGATCGCTAAACTTCAAAAGAATATAATCTACATACAGTCGAACTTTGATATAACAAATCTCAAGGGAACGCTCAAGAAGTTCTTTATATTGAAGCTTAAGGTAAAGCCCTATGTTGGAACCAAAAATAGTTATATCAAACATTTCGTTTCATCGAAGTTTGTTAAATTGAAGTTTGATTGTACAAATTAGAGACAGAACTAGTTGTTCAGTCTCTAATTTGTACAATAGGAGGATGACAGTATGCAAGTATGACAACTGAACTAGTTCAGTTGTCATACTCGCATACTGTCATACTCCCTAAAAAGCTCGCATTTTGATTTCAATGAATAGTCGATGTTGCCTCATTCTCTTTCTCTACCACCAATCCTCGAAAATCTATAAATTTTAAATCCTCAAACATGGCAACTTTCCGTCTTCAATTGTATTGTTTTTTCATTTTTATTCTTTCAAATACAGTTGACTCTCTATAACGGAATGAAAGGGACCAAAAAATTGTTTCATTTATATAGATTCACTATAGTATGCTAATCGAAGGAATACTAAGGAAATTTATGTTTGGCATCTATATTTGGAAACCTCCCAAATGCTGGGAAAAGTCTCGGAATTTGGAAGAATCCCCAAATGCCAGGAAAAGTCTATATAGAGTGTGTTACATAGCGTACTGTTTTACATAGCTTAGAGTTGGCTGAGACCAAAATTCTATTTTGTTAGATAGTTTTCCGCTATATAGGTTCCGAGTGTGTTACATAGCGTGCTGATTTAGTTAGCTTAGAGTTGGCTAAGACCAAAACTTCATTTTGTTAGATAGTTTTCCGCTATATAGGTTCCGAGTGCGTTAATAGAGTACCGTTTTATATAGCTTAGCGTTGGCTGAGACTAAAATTCCATTTTCTTAGATAGTTTTCCGCTATATAGGTTCCGAGTGCGTTACATAGCGTACTGTTTTACATAGCTTAGCGTTGGCGGAGACTAAAATTCCATTTTGTTAGATAGTTTTCCGCTATATAGAGTTCCGCGAGAGTCCACTGTATATTTCAACTCATTTTCAAACAACTTTAATGTATCAAGTGTTCAATAACAGATCAGCTATTCAAATTCTCTTGTGAATAAATAATCCTATGGGTGAAAGTGAAGTGGGATTGATCGACACAATGACCTAGAGATAAAGAGAAGGAAGAGAGAGAAAGAATGAATAGAAATTTCCCTTCATCTCTCCCATCTCTTTCCCTTTTACACATATGCTTGGAGAAAGCTTCATAAAATGCTAATCCAATAGATCTCTATCCGCTCGCTTTTCCTTTATTGTTCCAATTTTGTAAACAAGTCTTCGGCTTTTAATAGTTATTATTTGCCTTGTCAAAGTTTCTTTTAATAAACCAAATTTCATTCAATCGGTATATACTATCTAAAGAGTAGACAATCTTGCCAAATTTTCTCTACAAAATTTAAGCGCTATTTTGATTAAAGTAAACTTACTTATTATTAGCAGTATTTTTTCGAGCTCATCTCCTTTCCTATTTACTCTCAAAATTAATTTAAAAACTTAGAATTAACATCAAATAACTTACTGAAAAAGATCAATCTCAGCAATCTCTATAGAAATTTAGAATTTTGATATAACACGAGCACGTGTGGCTGACTGGTTAAGTGTCTTTTATCTTAATCGGAAGGTCGAGGGTTCGAACCCCACATGCGACATGGTCACCCCCTTCGGATTTCCTTTCCCTTCGGGTTGAGAGGTTTTCTGGAGGGCAGTCTGGTGGTTGTGGCCCCAGTTCTTTAAAGTGACAAGCCACTCCTTCATCGTCATCTTCCCTTCACCACCAAAAAAGCTATTTAGTTCCCAATTGAGCTTAGGGTTAGGGAGCCGTCTGTCATGACGTGGGTTAAGTTAAGATATAGCCTAGTATTGTGTGTGTCGTTGTATTGTGATTGATATATTTCGTGTATGCGATAAATTCACCACTGGTAGCCCCAGTCGGTATTTTTTTTTTTTTTTAACAAACCTCAAGGGAAAGCTCAAAAAGTTCGTTATATCGAAGGTTTGCACATGGTTTGCCAGGTAAAACCCCAAGTTGAAACCAAAAAATAGTTATATAAAAGATTTCGTTTAATCGAAGTTACTTCGTTAATTGTAGATCTCTGCAATCTCTTTCGATTTTGCGGAAATATCGGAAATATAAAGCAGATAATCTTTCTCAATAAATTTGCAACTCTTTTCTTGATGGGTGAAGCTGTTTGAAAAAGCGACAAAGAAACTTTTAGTGACAAAAGCTCTTTTACAACTTAGAGTTGGCTGAGACCAAAATTCTTTTTTTGTTAGATAGTTTTCCGCTCTTTTACAGCAAAATATTTCACTTAACGTTTATTTGTATATTCAAAACTTAAAATAAAGCTATTTATTTATCTAGCAAGTAAGAATTTTCCAACAATAAACTTCTTTTATTTCTTTTAAAAAGTAAACAACAAAAAGTTCAACAATGTTTTTCATGTAGTTGACAATTTTTGGGGGGTTTTTCGAGGGAAATTTAGAATTTAAATAGGAAAGGAAACGAAAGATACGAATGCCTAATGAATCACTTTTTTTTTCGAGATTTTTCCATACACAAATAAAATTATTTTGATTTTTCTCATCATTTTAGTCATTTTTTGTCCTTAAAACAAATGATTCATGAAGAATGAGATTTCATTTTTAACTTTATTTATGCTTTTTTTGTTTTCTTCTTCTTTTTAAACCATAAATTGTTCATTTCCGCAGTTATCTAAAACAATTTTTTGTTGAAAGTAGGAGAAAGAGGGCGAGGAACAAATTCAGGGCAATTCTCAAATGTGAAAACAGCGACCGAGTTCAACTGAAGTCGTTCCTCGCCCTCTTTCTCCTAGCTTTGAAAAACAAATGTTCAATCTAGCTATACTTTAAGAATCTACATCAAATTGGCTACAAAATGAGCTATTAGGCAAGTTTTTTGGCTGAGTAGAAAATTTTTCATAGCCATTTTAGGGCATTTTTGAACCTAAACTTTGGGGGCTCAAAAAAAATTTTCGACTAGACCAAATGAGCTAATTTCAAAAATTTTTTATAAAATATATGTATTATGAACATTTTTTATGTGGGTGACTTTTTGATTGGATGCCCGGGAATACCCTCATTCGTTAGCGGCTGAATTTCGTAGACGGCTACGACATATATATGCTTTATTCAGTTGAATAGCGACAAAACAAGATCACAATAATCACCGCACCACTCAAAACATAACCAAAAGATAAATAGATACCTCAAGAAAGAATCACAGAGCAGTCAAATCAATTGCCGAAATTGCGGCTTTAAATCTAGCCAAGGGGGTAAAAGGTTCCACAATTTAACTCGATTAAAAAAAACTGTGAGAGCTTTTAGAAGAAATGGAAAGTTGGCGTATGACTTGAAATTGAACCATAAAATCATAAAACATCATTTTTTAAGCTTCAAAGAAACAAAATC